CGCTTCCAGCTCTATGCAACTATCCTAATTAGGCCAGTGGGTGGCAGTCTTACTCAAGCTCCTCAAGGGCTCGGCTCTGGTTTTCCTGCTGCATGTGGCCCCACTGATTTCAAAAGAATCTCTGGAAATTGGGGCAGAAGCACGACCCAAATGCAAATGCTAATCAAAGATGGTGCTCACAGCGAGGAAAAGCCTGGACCCTGTCCCTCTAAAGCCTACGCTCCTTCACCTTTAATCACGTCTTTACTATGAAGAAAGCATTTTTTTTACTGCCTTTCTAAAATGCCAAAATGAAACAGCTCTGCAATAGGATGTCTGCTCTAGGAAAACCCTCAAAAGCAATAAAGAGATTACTGTTAAAATGCCAATGACCTTGTAACTCTCTGGGTTGTTTTTTTAAAAAATATATTTTATTGATTTTTTACAGAGAGGGAGGGAGAGGGATAGAGAGTTAGGAACATCGATGAGAGAGAAACATCGAACAGCTGCCTCTTGCACACCCCCTACTGGGGATGTGCCCGCAACCAAGGTACATGCCCTTGACTGGAATCGAACCTGGGACCCTTCAGTCTGCAGGCCAATGCTCTATCCACTGAGCCAAACCGGTTAGGGCTCTGGGTTTTTACCTGTACCACAAGCATCTGACTGGAGAAATGTCACTCGCTTTAAGCTCCTAGAGCAGCGGTTCTCAACCTGTGGGTCGCGACCCCTTTGGCGGTCAAACGACCCTTTCACAGGGGTCGCCTAAGACCATCGGAAAACACATATGTAATTACTTAATGTTTTTGTGATTAATCACTATGCTTTATGTTCAATGTGTAACAATGAAAATACATCCTGCATATTAGATATTTACATTACGATTCATAACAGTAGCAAAATTACAGTTATGAAGTAGCAACGAAAATAATTTTATGGTTGGGGGTCACCACAACATGAGGAACTGGAACTGTATTAAAGGGTCGCAGCATTAGGAAGGTTGAGAACCACTGTCCTGGAGGATGGCATCGCCACCAGATGCCTCCCTCAAGTGTTGAGCAATCTTTTTTTTTTATCATATTATGCTTTTATTATATAGGATTCATCTACTTAAATTTATTCCAATATTATTTAGCTTAACCATATATATAATTTCCTTTCAAGATTTTTCTTCACAAACCTTCGGAAAGGAAGAGAGGGAGATAGAAACATCAATGATGAGCCCTAACCAGTTTGGCTCATTGGATAGAGCAGTGGTCAGCAAACTCATTAGTCAACAGAGCCAAATATCAACAGTACAACGATTGAAATTTCTTTTGAGAGCCAAATTTTTTAAACTTAAACTATATAGGTAGGTACATTGTTATTAACTTAATTAGGGTACTCCTAAGCTGGCCTTGGCTAAAAACGTCCTCAATATGATTGAGGTACGTTCACTGAGGTTGACCCCTTCCAACTCTCCATCCACACTCGTCTTGTACACTTGTTTCGTCTATCTCCTTTCGTTCATCCTCTCTATATGTCCAAACCATCTCACCTTTCTCAATCCTCGACACTACATCTTTCACTCCACAACGTTCCTTAAAATTAACTTATAAACTTTACTTTTGTCACCCGCGCACGACTTGCGGACGTGACCAGCACTAACCACTGCACAATGAGACTGCTGACTGGCTCACTCAACTTGTGCATGAATCACACAAGCCTCCCCCGCGCTGCGTATCCCGCGGCCCGCCTGCGCGGCGTCTCCCCTCGCCTGACCGACTGACACCCCCCACTTCTTCTAACGCCACTTCTTCAAAATAGACTCGCCCAGGCCGAAAACCAACTTCTGCGCATGGGCCACGAAGTTTCAGTTGCACTGTACGTGTGCGCCCGCACGTGGTATTTTGTGGAAGAGCCACACTCAAGGGGTCAAAGAGCCGCATGTGGCTCACGAGCCACAGTTTCCTGACCACTGGGATAGAGCATCGGCCCGCGGATGCTTCTTCTGCCTGAAGAAGGGTCCCGGGTTCGATTCTGGTCAAGGGGAGTACCTTGGTTGTGGGCTTGATCCCCAATAGGGGGCATGCAGGAGGCAGTTTCTCATCAATGTTTCTAACTCCCTATCCCTCTCCCTTCCTCTCTGTAAAAATTAATAAAAAATATATTAAACAAACAAAAAAAAAAGAAACATCAATGAATCATTTATCAGCTGCCTCCTGCACGCCCCACACTGGGGATAGAGCCCTTAACCCAGGCATGTGCCCTGATCAGGAACCAAGCTTCCTGGTTCATAGGTCAACACTCAACCACTAAACCACCTGAACAATCCTAAGGGTCAGAATTATCCTACCTCTTATTTGGGGGGTAGGGTGTGCATGTGCTGGGCAGGGCACAAATTGGTGCATTGAGGCAGGTATGTGGACATGTACACATGCAACACATAAAAAGCACTGTGAGAGCATCGGTGTAAGATTGTCCAGTTTTGCTCCATGGGGAGATAAGCAAACATTTTTGCTTCTGCTGGCACCAACATTGGTTATATCTTAACATTTTTCCCAAGTCACTCCTTTTCTTTCTTTATTCAAAGACATGGCTTTCTTTTTTAATATATTTGTCAATTTCAGAGAGGGAAAGGGAGAAAGATCAATGAGAGAATCATTGATTGGCTGCCTCCTGCACGCCCCCTACTGGGGATCAAGCTCGAAACCTGGGCATGTGCCTGATCAAACCTGGGACCCTTCAGTCCACAGGCCGACACACTGTCCACTGAGCCAAACCGGCTAGGCCACAAGACATGGTTTTAGAACACCCACGTGACTGGCTGCCCAGATTAAACTCTCAAGAGCTGAAATGAGCAACTACTAGGATTACAAACACGTGCCCTAGAAAAACCCCTACCGCGTCTCAAGCCTAGTGTCCACACAGGACTTTACCCTGAACCCATCCCTGGCAGGCGTTTAGGTTCCTGATACTTGGAGGCTTACATTCTGGTCACATGCGGGGTGGGGCGGGGGCAGCCTCTGGGCTTAGTAGGGGGTCCTTGCGGCATCTGGAGACTGCTCCCTATGTCAGGGGGCTCCCTTCTCCACGTCCAATATGGGGGGTGGGGGAGGGAACTGGTTCTTTTAAGTAGGAGGCGCTTTGGGGAATAGAGAAATGAAAAGACACAGAAATAGAGGGAGAAGCTGGGTCTGGGTGGGCTTCTGTTCTCTTCTGGCGGAGAGGCAGAGACCCAGCACCAAAGCAGCCTGTTTATTTTATAGCCCAAATTCCCCAAAATATCAGGTTTCACCAAAACTCAAGGGAGGTAGGTATTCCGGGAGCTTGACTGGATTTACATAATAAAAACCCATTCCTGGCACCTAGGCTTTGAAGAGTCAAGCTGAAGGCATTCTCACCTTTTGGTCAGAAATGCCCCCAAGGTAGGGCTCTGCCTACCCCTTGGGTTCAGTCAACATGACTTAAAGGAGAGTCATGGCGCCTTCCCTGGCAGGGGGCCTCCCACAGCTCCCCATATTGTTTCATGGGTTTTGGTACCAAATTGGAACCAATCCTAGACGTCACCAAGCCCTTGATTCCTGAACATTCACCCATCACTCCCCCCCAACCCCCACCCCCGTCCCGAGGTTTTTGCCACTCACTGGCCCTCACACCACTGAGTTGGAGCACTAAGTATTTAGATACTTGAAAGCCTGTCAAGATCTGGCTCTTTGGCTGGCCCATGTGGCTCAGTGGTTGATCATCAACCTACTAGTATAAGCCAGGAGGTCATGATTAAATTCCCGGTCAGGACACAAGCCCAGGTTGCTGGCTCGTTCCCGTGTGGAGGCAGCCGATCAAGGATTCTCTCATCATTGATGTCTTTCTCTCCCCCTCCCTCTCTGAAATCAATAAAAATGTTTTTAAAAATCTGGCTCTTTCATGCTTCCTCAGGCCTTTCGCAGGCACCCTCTACCCACTTAGAGACACACACACCTTCTGCCAGACACATTACATAATTAGCATCAAATTTCAAGTATGACATAAAGGCCCCCTGATTTTTAATCAAAGTACTTTATATTTTTTTGTTCTGCTAGTTTGAGACCACCATCAATTAGAAAACCCAACAGGAATACTTTAAAAAAACATAGTAAGCAAACTTTAATAAGTAAAAATTACAACCACCTTCTCCCAGCAAGGACCGATTGCATCCTTTGAAAGAAAAAGGGTAGAAACAAGAGAATACATTTTGGATTTTGTCACAAACACAAGTAGTCAGATGGACTGAGGTACATGAGGCTGTACCCAAGCTGAAGTGCACCCACTGCTAGGCCAGAGGGATAGGAATGGCTAGAAAGGTGGAAGACCAGGAGTCCTCGCCAGCCGATGGAATAACAAAGGTGGCGCTGACACCAGTCTAGCCCACTGTCCTCATAACACGCTGGAGATTTACCCCAGCAAACATGGTTGTCCTATTCTTTTACTTGCTCTACACCAGTGATGGCGAACCTTTTGAGCTCGGCGTGTCAGCATTTTGAAAAACCCTAACTTAACTCTGGTGCCGTTTCACATATAGAAATGTTTTGATATTTGCAACCATAGTTAAAACAAAGACTTATATTTTTGATATTTATTTTATATATTTAAATGCCATTTAACAAAGAAAAATCAACCAAAAAAATGAGTTCGCGTGTCACCTCTGACACGCGTGTCATAGGTTCGCCATCACCGCTCTACATCGTTTCACTGTGCGATTGGTATCAACTTTTTTAACAGAAGGGCATGGGGGAGTGGCAGAAGCAAACGAGTAAAGGAGGATGGAGTTAGAACAGCTGTCAGGAAACAGCTGTGCTGGTTACCAGGCAGTGCAGGGTCTGAAGGCGAGGCTTCCCCACTCCCCGCAAGGAGAGAAGTGGGTGGTATCCAATCTGCCTCCTGCACCCATATCCTTAAAACAGGACAAGATGGGATGACCACACCAGGTAACATCACTCAGGTCTCGGCTAGCAGCTAAAATGTGCCTCAGCTCTCACCCTTTAAGAACAGAAGGAACTATGTTTTCTCAATAAGGCTTTAATTTCTCCTCCCAGCTGGGCACAGTGCTTAAAGTGATCTCCACTAGTCAGAAACGACTTCCATTTTGATTTTCTTTTTCTTCTTCTTCTTTTTGGTGGTATCACTGTCCTGGGAGAGAAAGAAAAGAAGGCTCACAGAACCTGTTAACAGAATAACTGCCACTCTCCCAAAAGGAAATCGGAGACACTCCACGCAGGCAAGTAGGCCTTTTCAGGATCTGTCAGGATACCCAGGGTTCATTTTTGAACATAACAAAGTCCTGAGCTTGTCAGTGGCGCCCCAGTGGCCCACTTTTACAAACAGGAGCATTCAGATTCTCAAGCTACATGCCCTACCACCTGCCATTCACAGAATTCTAACTATGAGCAGTTACTATACAATGCCAGGGCCTGCCCGACCACAGTGGTTCAGGGTGGAATGTTAACCTGTGAACCAGGAGGTCGCGGTTCAATTCCCAGTCAGAGCACATGCTCCGGTTGCGGGCTCCATCCCCATTGGGGGGTGTGCATGAGGCAGATGATTGATGATTCTCTCTCATCATTGATATTTCTATTTCTCTCCCCCTCCCTCTCTGAAATCAATAAAAATATATTAAAAATATAAAATGCCAGGGTCTGTCTCTGTACGATCCTGCGGGGATAGTGGGGGGGAAAGGCACTCCAGTAATACGGCACAGCTCCCCAAGTAACCAAACTGGCACCAACTGGGCAATTCAAACAACCCCGCACCTGAGGACTAAGCGAGCTAAGGATCCTGAGCATGTCTATACACACCCCATCTGCCGCCTCGCCTGCATCCTCCGCAGCGGCTTTGGCCTTCTTCTCCTTCTTCTTCTTTTTCTTCTCCTTTTCCTTCTCCTTCTCCTTGACCGGCTCTGGAGACTCTGGCTCTGGTGAAGTCTCATCACTTTCACTCTCTCGACTCCGCTGAGGAGACAATTGATAATGTTAGATCTTAGGCAAAAATGGATGAGAAAGGCTCAGGAAGTGAAAAGGTAAGAAGAGATCCTTACTCGGTACACAGGAGGGTCCTGAAGTTTACCAAGGATTCAGAGACTGTCTCACCCACAAAGAGCCGGAAGCCCGTTTTCCTGGAGGCCAACCTCACTAGGATTACAAGTTGGAACTCCATGTCCCCTAGGGGTGCCCCTTGAGTCCTCAGAAGTGTCAAGCAAGGCAGGAAAAGCTCCTCTAGACAGCTTGCTCCAAGTCACTCTGCCACGCGTCTTTCTGTGCTGTCATGCCAGTGGTCCCCAACCCTGGGAAGCCAAGCTGCCACTTTGAAACACTGAACTGGTGCTGTCTGGAGGTAGCTCGCGGGTGGCATTGCTCCCGCATTGCTCCTGCTGAGTCCCACACAACTCCAAGTGTCACAGCCTCCAATTTCAACACACGTGTGCCATCACTTGACCCAGGGTCTGGGCCAGAATAACACGCACCCCCGTTTCAGTGCTGCCTGAGCTGAGGTGGAAGATGAGGCCAGTCTGATTCCTGAGCCCCCACGTCTCCCAGCAGACACAACAGGAAAGTGATCTGGCACCTACAGAGCCCCAACGACTACCCTGGGGCACAACATGTCATCTCTCTGTGTACCACGCACCCACGGGGCGGAAGGCCCTGCCAGACTGAGCCAGGATATATGGCTGGACTGCAGTCACCAGGATAAGCCACACAGAACCATCTCCCGAAGTGCATTCCAAACGAATCACCACATGCCCCGTACCTTTGTGGCCTTTACTGGTGAAGCAACCGCCTCTGTCTTCACGGCATCACTGAAAGGAGAGGGAGCCAGCGGGTTAGATTTGATGAACAGCTTTCTGGGCAGGGACTGCTTCATCTGCAGCCAACCAGAGTTATCTGGCAAGTCTAAAGCCACCATCAAAGTACTGACGCTGGACAAAGCAACTCACCACTTACTGTTGCAGACGGACTCCCTCTAAAGTCCCACATGCCAGACTAGAAAGGGATAACTGTCTGCTGCAGAGGCCCGGCAGCCAAGGCACAGCAACCTCCCTGCCCCAACAATTCTACGGCCAAGGCCCCATTTACCACCCTTCCCCCAACAAACCCTGCCCCCTCCCCACAGCTGGGCCCCATGACCTCCTGGCCTCATGTGTAATTGATGTGCTTGTCCAGGTGGCCAGGCATGCTGCGTCCACCCCTCTGAGTTCCACATCCTCCTGTCCCCACTGCCACTGCCATCCAGTGTAGTGTCAACTCCTGCACGCAGGCGAGCATGCAGTCTGCATGCCCTGGGTCTCCACAGCATCCTGCCCTCACCTGTAGTCAACATACTCCTGTGTCCAGGTGGTGGGCGTGCTGGCTGTGGCCTTGCCGTGCTTGTCCAGAAGGCCCTGCTTGATCATCAGCTTCTTCTGACTGGCCTGGTGGACATCAAGATTTCAACATCAAGATGGTGTCAACACATATAGCAGGCTGACTGCATGCACACGGCCCAAATCAAGTTTCTCCCTTGTGTATTCTCACCTGGGCCCCAAGCTCCTATATAGAGCACTCAGAATTCACCCATTCTTGCCCTGGCCAGTGTGTCCCAATGGTTAGAGCATCGGCCAACGCACCAAGAGGTCTCAGGTTTGATTCCCTAGCCCCAGTCAGGGTGCGTGTGGGAGGTAACCAATAGAAGTGTCTCTCACATCTGTTTCTCCCCCTCCACCCCCACTCACTCCCAATCTCTAAATAGCCTTAGGTGAGGCTTGAGAAAAGCCAAACAAATAAACAAACCAAAAAAACCCCCACCCATTCTCTTTGATAAGCACAAACATGGGACTTGGTAAAGGTCACGGAGCTTATAGCCTTAGTGAGAGCCTCTGCAGTGTCATTATGTGGCACAGGGCCTTTGCACATACTATTCCAGCTGCCCTGGACTTTTCCCTAGCTCATCACCTCATCGCCATCTAATCCTTCACACTGGCAGGGCTCAAGTGAAGCTCCCTTACCCAGATCCCCTCATTGCAGACTCTTGAGGTGCCAGGCTCCTTGAGAAACCCTCACCTTGGCTAAAATTCACCATTCTATCTGAGTGATGCCCATCTGTTTCCTCCCATCAGACTGAAATCTCTAAGGTCTGAGGCGGGCCAGTTCCTACTCACCACTGACTCCCCCAGAGCCCAGCACAAGGTAAGGCTGTGGCAGTGGGGTCACACCAAGAGCTGCCCAAGTGCTCAACAACGCTGAACCTAGTAACCCGGGAGGGCACATGACTGGTCCCACTCACCTTTGGACCTAAACCCCACTTCCGAGGGTAAGTGTCTCTTTCCATGATCACTCTCTTGATCTTGGCTACTATCCCATGGTCGCAGGTAGAGATCACTGCTGTGGTCATTAATGCAATAGCTGCAGGTGTTCAAAGAGAGAAAAGAATGATTTAAGTCCAGCCAGTGTGGCTCAGCGGTCGAGCATCGACCTAGGAACCAGGAGGTCACAGTTAGATTCCAGTCAGAGCACATGCCCAGGATGTGGGCTTGATCCCCAGTAGGGGGTGTGCAGGACACAGCTGGTCAATGATTTTCTCTCATCATTGATGTTTCTATCTCTTTCTCCCTCTCCCATCCTCTCTGAAACCAATCAATACACACACACACACACACACACACACACACACACACACACACACACACACTGATTTAAAGGGGCAAGACACAACAATTGCTAAGCCCGGATTCCAGTTTTACATTTTTTAAAAGCTCTACTGCTGCCCTAGCCGGTTTGGCTCAGTGGATGGAGCGTTGGCCTGCAGACTGAAGGGTCCCAGGTTTTCCAGTCAA